CTAAATGAGTATAAGTTAAGAAAGCAGTATAATTTATCTGAAGCGCTATCAAAGAACTAGCTAATCAAGTGAAGGCGCCAATTTGTGTTTGTTTGTTGTGTCTATATTTTAATTCGTGATGAATTGAGTGAATCTTAAAATATTGCAACATTTTACCAGAAATATTAAAAGTTCAATTAAAATAAAATGAAGTTAATTATGTCAAATTGATTTTTATTGTATTAAAGATATTTGTAATTTTCTAATAAATTCATGTTATATTTGTGTCATGTTAATGTACCGTAAACTCTGCATTGCTGCTGGGAAGGGTGTAGTTCCATTGTATTTCCACCACCTTTGAGCAAAAGCAACTCTCTTTCTGTCTCTGAAGAACATGAAATTGCCATGTATTCATATCTTATGCATGCACATCAAATAGAAAAAGTAGAGAATAGACATGACAGGTAAAGAATAAAAGCTCTCAGATGGTCACCTGCCCCAGCTGGGAATCAACAGATAAAATATGAACTTATGTTATAGCCAAAATGAATGACAGCGAAAGAGGCAAATGATTTTGAGATATAAAAGGATATGTTGGTCATCTTGCATTTGTCCTCTGCAACTGTCTTCCGTAGAAGTGAGCTCCAACCGGATTAGTGATTCGCCAGAAATTCAGAAGAAAAAGGGGGAAAAGGGGCGGGGGCGGGGGCTTTGGATGGAGGCAGGTGGCAACAGAAAAATAAAATCATAAATCAATATTTCTTCCACGAGCTTTGGGAGATCACTAACCAGCCAGAGCTCCTCTCTAATTCTTCGAAGTCTCAGTTTCCATGCATGTACAAAGTACTTTCTACTGTTGTTTAATCCCAACCGTTGCATTTTGAGGTAAACCTTTTAATTATATCATTTTTTTTTTTATTCTGGCCATTCAAAGATAAAATGGGGAATAAGTAAAGATGGAAAATGATAGGCAGTTTGGGTGCACAATCATCCGTACTCCATTTTTTTCTAATTATGTGACAATGAAACAGATTAATACCGTATGCTATGCTGTGTATTTATTTATTTATTTTAATAGTAAATACTGATTGTTAATTATTCCATATCAATAAACTCTTGAAAATATTGGGCATGACATTGATTAACAGCAGTTAGGATCTCTTTCACAAGGTAGAGACATGATCTGCAAGTCAATCTGCAGGCAAAGTCAATGCGTCAAATTTTTATTATTGTCTGTCAAGACCAATTTTACATGTGAGAGGCATTCAGTCTGAAAATTTTATATCCATGATTAATTTTTTGAGCTTTTTTATATAATGTTTATTTTTATTTTTTATTTAGCAAAATGGGTAATTTTTAAACTATTTATGAAAATATATATTATTTTCAAAACTGAGAAGTTGATCATGGAATAATTGACTTATTTTAAAAAATCAGTTATGAAAGAATGGGATTCTTAATGCAAGTTGGCTAGGTCAAATTGATTTCCATTAAGAAGACAAGACATATGGTGAAAAAACATTATATATCTTTGTATTTACGTTGAAAGGAAACATCATTTGGACAGATTAAAAAGAAAAAAGTGAAATTCACCAAAAAAATGTGGATGATATTTAAATATCAAGACTTCTGCTTTTCCTCGTATCTATTTCAAAGTATGTATTAACTATTTCTATTTATGTCAAATACAAAATATCATGCAAGAAATTAAAGAAAAAAAATACACACACGCATATATATATATATATATATATATATGATGATGATGATGATGAAAATGCCCAACTTCCTCCTCATGTCATGCATTTGAACAAGACCACACATGCATTCATTAACAAAATTATTGTTAACTTATACCTATTACGCATTAATTGTGAGATTACACTTACGCCCCTTCCACAAGCTTAATCGAAAATACATTACAGAAATTGAAGGGCTTTCTTGGAATCCTGATCATCTCAGCATAGAAGCAAATCCAAAATTCAATCTCAAACAACCTACCAATAGAAAGAATTTAACTATCAGGTCTTACCTACCAATAGAAAGAATTTAACTATCAGGTCTTACCTTAAAAATAAATATACTATTCAAGCTGTCCTATGATTCTCTTTTCTTTTTATTATTTCCCATTTATGGCCAGAATAAAAATGTTAATAAAATAAAAAGTTTTCCTAGTAATCCAACGGTTAGGATTAAAGATTGCTCCTCCTTGAAATGCCTATACAAGTATAGAGGAGGGTGAACCATATGCATATAAGGAGTGCACAACAGAGCTTAGGGTTTTATTTTTAAAGAATTAGAGAAGAGCACCGGTTGGTCAGCGGTCTACCAAAAATTTTGTGGAATAAATATTTAAAAACATTTTCTTCCATTAAATTTCTGGTAAATCGCTGATCCAATCTGAGCTTATTTTTATGGAAGATGATTGCAGAAGATGATTTTCTAGAGATCCAAAAAATGTTTGATCTTCTTATTCATTTCCTACTTCAACTGTGTGCGAGGTATTTATTTTTTCAATAGAAATTTAGGTTTTTATATTTCAGCCTTCTGTATATATCCATTTAAAAATGAAAAATCAAGGATTGAAATTTGTATGATTAATTTAAAATCTTTACATATTCAATTTAATTTTCCATTCCATTGGTGTAACAATTATAAAAATTCATATTACCCGAAAATTATAAAAATTTTGACGTTCATTGCCCAAAACAATTTTAATATAAGACCAATCTTACATGACAATTTTATGCTCTTCAATGACCACGAGAGAGAGAGAGAGAGAGAGAGAGAGGTTCTGTGCATTCAAATAGGTGACCCCTTTATTTGCTTGAAGTTTCTAAGTAGGCTTTGCCCATTTATGATGCCTTCATTTCAAATTTCTATCAATGGGTTGATTTCAATAATCATGTTGATTTATCTTTTCTCATTTAAATTAAGACACACCCAACTTTAAATTTCAATATCAAATTGCTTTACAAAAATTCAAATAATTACTATTTCTTTTTTCATTATCCATAATCTTTTATCCTTTAAATTTCTATAATTAAGCATTTGAGATTTAAAATTTCTAATAGTTTTGAGAATATTTGGCATTCCTAGAACCTAAAAATTTATGGGTTTTAAGAGCCCCCATTTAAGGTTGTTTTTAAAACTCCAAATTGGGATTTAGTGATTAATTTTTGAATTTTCCTCTAAAGAACAAAAAAATCTTAAACCTTAAAATACTTAGATTTTAATAGACTGGTCTTCTATAACTAAGCAAGTTTTCCCGAAGATCACACCAATCTTGGTTAAAAAAGAATGAAAACAATGAAAGCGTTTCAATTCTCAAAGGCCATTTGACAAACATATATGACTTCTTTTATTTTTGAGCATAGCAGTAGCAGATATAATATTTGCAGATCTTATAGAAGATACAATATTTGCAGACCGGGAGGATGAACCATCATGTAGAAATCGGGTTAGTCTGCATGTGCACTTGACATCCTTCATAACTCTTTCTTGAATTTAGAGCTTTGCTTGTTCTTGAAGTTGTTCCTGACTTAGACATCATGAGCTCAAATTAAATACATAAAGAATTTAGTGGGAATGAAGTAAAAATGCATAAAATGACCATAGAACAACTTTCCAAGAATGTAATTTTCTGGAGTTCATTTTGATTCAAAAATAGGCCACTGTTAATTCTAAGAATAGCTGATCATCTCAACATTTGGAGAAGAATGAGAAGTTAATTTTTAACTGTTTATTTCTTTATTATTTGAAATGTCTATTACAGTTAACTATTCTCCTCCATCGACAGTTTATACAAAATTTTGGGTTAAATTACTATTACTATAAGTCTGGAACTGATGACACCCAATAGATATTAAAACATGGGGACATAGGTGGAATAAACTTTTTTTTTTTTTATTTTACCTTCTTTTTTATTAAAAATAATTAATTCTATTAGGAAAGTCATGGAGACAGACAGGTAGATTAAAAATTCGTTAAGGCGAGTTAGAAAACAAGGAGAGGAAATGAATAGCTAATCTCTGTGACAAAGAAGGCATGGAATACATAAGGAACTCTGTGGTAATTCGACAACTGCAACTGGATCGGGTGACATTATTTTTGCATCTATTACAGTTGTAACAGATTCCCTGGGCATTTTGAAACAGAGATTCAGCTCTTGTTATAATCAAGATCATGGCATGTTATAATCAAGAGATGAAGTCAACTTCTTCTATCGCCACCAAACAGCAATCAACTATTGTCCCCAAAGAAGGTTGTCACTAAAACAAAACTTTTACAGAGCAACTAGGTAAAACTAATAAAAATATGATAATCCTTTACTGTTGCACTGGCCCACTTCAGATTGAATACTTTTGATCTATATGCTTTCTCCCACTTCTAAGCAACATTTAAATGACAGTATCATTGTGTGAAAAAGTGATAAAAGTAACACTAAATAATCAAATTCTAACAGCAACAAAAAGTTTTATAAGGACATGAAGTACATTTACAGAGTCCACATTTCAATTTAGCAATACCATATAAATTCCATGCAGAGCGTAGAAAAAGAAAAAGTTTACTATAATTTCTATCAGTACATGAATAGAATTTATACCTTGTCACTTCATCATGTGCGAAGAATATCAAGTAGCCATCATGTTCTTCTGAGGTAATGCCTGGCTCGCGGGGGACAAAAATAGCCTCAGACCCAAATTTATTGGGCCCCAGTAAAAAATCCTGGAATATTTCCTCCAACTTCAAGCTTTTCCTTTCCAGGTTCTGGTTCTGCGTGCAAGTCAAATTTGATAATTCCTGTGACCTTTGCAATGCTGTCCTATGTAGTCCCATAAAGAAAACGCTGTTTCCTAAAGTTTCGTAAGATAATTGGTGAGCATAGAGCTCAGTAGAAAGAAAATGTTTTACAAAAATAATTAGACCCAAAAAGTTTAATATGCAATTAAATTTTACATTTTAAAAAAAGTAGCATGCCAAATAAGAAAAATTAGAGTGCAAATGAATGTTGTATACCTTCCAGTGTAGCTCTCATTTATCCTTGGGAAATCAACAGCAGCTACCGATAGCTTCCTCTGTGAAGCTACACCAGTTGTCATGTTGAACCTCATTTCGTATCTAGTAAGAATAAAAAGCATCAGGAAAATCTGAAGCTTGCGTAACTATACTATGATCTTTGGGTCAAGCGTCATACAGTTCGTTTTTAAAATCCTGAAGCTTTTCTTTGATTGTTCCATTAACCATGTCTAGATCAAGATTCTCAATTCGACAAGTTATCAGAACAACTTCATCCCTTCCTCCCAAGCGTTTGCAACAGTAAGGGGAAAACAATATTCATGAGAAAGGGTCATAATTGGGAGCAAAATAAACAAATTTAGTGGTTGCTTGTGAAAGATAAAGAACATAATAAAGTTTCAGTAGTCTAATGAAGAAAAGGACCAGCCTAAATAGGTTGTTATATTTTATTTTATTTTTCCTTTGATAATGATTAGCAAACTAGTTTGCCAGATAATTGTTCAAACTTTGATCTGAATAGCTAGAAATCTAAAATAAACAGCACTTAAAGCAGGTTGAATAAAATTAGAAGATCAAATGCTGGACATTGCATGGAAGCACAAGTTTCAGGAAAACACACAGAAAAAAGCAAGAACAAAGGAATGAGGCAGGAACTTGATTACTGTAAATTTCCTTTCTATATAGATGTAACCATTTCAAGAAACCATGGATTCTAGAAGGGAAATGGAACTGGTTATGGAGTTAATTCTCAGATAATAATGAATTCTTAACTTGTGATCCTCCATGGATTGATAATTTCTTGAAGAGCTGGTTTTGGTTCCCAATGGACAGTTCATAATTTTACTTAACAACAATTTTTTGACATCCTCTCATAATCTTAACACCTGGACATACATATGTATATATGTATGTATGTATGTATGTATTTATTTATGGAATGGTAAGTAACACTAATTTAACTATTACTATTGCTTTCTCAAAATTTAGCAAGCATAAGTTGTCTTTCTTGTGGGAAAAAAGAAATTCATTTTTGCAAAAGATATGCTAGCAAATCTATTTTTTCTTTTAAAATGTGTTTATTTATTTATTTATTGTTCCTGTTCAGACTAAATAAGAGAATCATTTTTAAGTATGATAGGACATTATTTACACAGCTTTGAACTAAATCACGGTCAATAACTTTTGTAACAAAATATTGCCTGTACTGGTAAGCAACTTCAACCCACCTCCAAAGACCCAACTACCAGATTGATAGATACAACATTAAAGTTTTCATTCAATGCCTTTGGATGGTATACCCTTGATTGACGTAAAAGTTCAGATTCATCCCCGATATCCAGAAAGACTTCTAAAAAATGGTTTGAGAGCTTATGAAATGTCCAATTTTAAAGTGCATACTATTTTTCTCTTTAAGGTGGACTCTGATACCAAATAAGCAAAGTAAGCTGAAATGATAAAATTCATGGAAAATGCAACAGAAAAAGAACAGATACACCATTCTAACAATATGTATGCCTCATTGGTAGAAAAAAATCCAGACATAGCGGTTACTGGGAATACACTGGAAAAATTTCAACATATGTTTTCGGAGCAGAGTAATGGAGACTCACCATTATGGAATATAAAGCAATTTGGAAGCTCGAACCATTTAACTAAAAGCTCATCCTTTGTATACCGTGGTAAAATGCCAAAGTGTGCTTTCTTCGTTGGATCAAATGTGAAGATCAATGTGTTCTTCTTCACCATATCCTGAAAATTGAAGTACTGTGAGAAAATCAAGCCTCATATCTCCGGATGATTTAATAACATACACTAGAGTCACGAACAAGTAGATGATCCTATGACAACCCAAACCAAGTTTTGCTTGTAAAATGTCATTCATACATTACTACACAATTGCATATACCACTTACATGCATTGCATGTTATAGTAAATTTAAACATCATGGAAATTTCTTTGCATTTTTCTTGTTGACAATTTGAAATGGATAGAGTGGAACCAACCCTAAGAGGTTTTAAGAGACATTAGAGAAAGAGTAGAATAGAGTAGTGGAAATAATTAAAAGGAAAGAAATGTATGAATTGAAAGTTAAACCTAGGAATTACAAATAAAATAAATGAATTTAAAGAAGAAAAAAAATTTAATTGACAACTTTAAATTTGTAAATTAAACTCTTATTTAGAAGGGTTGAGAGAGGGATTAAATAGCCATTTTAGGAGGCAATTAAGGGGTTTAAATGAATATTGAAGGATATAATAAGAAATAAGGGAAATTTTCTCAAGGAATATATAAGAAAAAAAAATTAATGGAAAGGGAATTTTGTCTTTTTACTAGGGGCGTGTGTCGTCTTATATGTGTGTGTGTGTGTGTGTGTGTGTCATGTAAAATATAAGGGGCTGTAGAGATCTTTCAAAGAAAGCCACGTAGAAGCAAAGGAAAAGAGAGAAAAAGGTTGGTGTTACAAAGTCAATCAACCCACCAATCAGAAGAAAGAGTTTCTTATGGAGACCAATAGGAGGGAACAAAGTGTATGTAAGTTGACTATGTTACAAAGTTGTTATATGCATGTTTAAGAAATTCTAGAGATTTCTCAAGATTAGCTGCAAACTAAGGAGGAAAGAAAAGAGAAGGGAAGAAGAAAGAAGGGAGAAAAAAGGTAAGAAAATAGAAAATTTTGGAAACTTCTTGGATTCTACTTCAAAATTTTTGTATATTTTGCTTTTCCTTCCACTCCTATGACATTTAATCAGTTTTGAATTTGTTGTTTGAGACTGTTTTGCATGTTGTAGAGAGGGGGGTTAGCTAAACCTCACCATAGGAGAGTTTGCATGATTTTGCTAAAATATGTTCTACTAGCTTCCACTCTTGTTTTGCTTTGAAAATTTTATGTTTTCATGGTTAAGTTGTGTGCTTTGCTGCTGTTTCTGAGGCTAGAAACAGAGGAGAAACAAGGTAGGTGAAGTTGGAGTGGAGAAAAAGAAAGGTTAATGCAAGAGAAATTAGGAAACAAAGTAGAAAATTGAAATTTAGTAGGGTTTTGAAAATCTGAAAAATTTTCTGCAATTCTCACATTTTTAACAGAAATTTTAGAGGATTAAGCTGAGCCTAATTCCATAATTTATGGGTAGTTTGAAAGGTGATTAAGTTAGTTTAAGAAGAAAAGTTAAGAAGGAATTAATCTAGACTCAAACTAAGCTATAACTAGTTAAGTGATGTTGATGAACATGTGCAGGAAATTTACTGCAAAACATTCTACAGTCTTATTTTGAATTGGCTAGAATTTTAGAGCACTACAATGGAGTTAAATGCAAAGCTAAAATGTTGTTTAGAGTGTAGCTAGACTAGCTTAATAGAGAGAATTAGGAAAAAGAGCAACAACTTGCATAAATTTCAATAAAATCTAACTGGAGGTCTAAGGGAGGATGTGCTGAAATTTTGAACAAGAATTTTTGTAATTTCACTTTATTTGGTTGCACCCTTAAGATATATGAATAAGGTATAAATCAATGTATTTGAATGACTTAAAAGATGATTGGATTAGCTTAGTAAGAAGAAGTCAAAATGCACCCATGATTGGCTCACAATGAAAACATGTTTAACTAGAGAACTTATGCATGGGTGTAGAAAATGTGAGACATAATTCTGATTTTGGGAAGGGTATTTAGAAAAGTTGTATGTCTTTAAAGAGGCACGAAATAAGGTCGAAAAATTGGCCAAAGAGAAGTCCAAAGTAGATATAAGATTAGGAAAAAAATAAAAGAAGATTGCAAACCAAATTTTCAACTTAGGCTCATGCATTTAATATTTAAATGCAGAAATTTCTGCAATACTAAGAGATTTAAGGGAGGAATTTCTAACCTTTAATTGACACCTAAGAGAGTTAGAACATGAGCATAATGATGGCTAATGAAGGGGTATAAATACAAATTTTAAAGGATTAGAAAGTAGTACCCAAGGTGAGCTTAAAGATTAAGAAAAAAGGGAGAACTAACAACTATGTTGTATGGAATATTTTTGCATGCATTTGCACCATACATTTAAGGCATTTTACTCTCACATGCATGTAACCCACATGTAGGAGAGGGAAACAGAGTTGAGCTAGATCCTAATCAGACGGCTCCAGGAGCACATTCATAGATTTTATACCTTCAGTGAGTGGTATCTCTCTAATTTTAGTATATTTTCTAAAAACATGTTTTATATCAATCAAAACTTATTTTGAAACACGCTCATACATTCATACTAAGAAAAGGGAAACAATCTAGTTATATTCTGATTTCTAGTGTATACATATGATTTCATGATTTTTATGAGTTGATGATATTTTAGTGCTTCAACACTTAGACTTGAAATGTCGGGCAGTCATTTGTGGCAGGTGGCAGTTCTACTTGCATTACATGATATGTATGTGATTATTTTTCCTAGAGGAGGGGATCTGAGACTGTAGACTATGTTAATTTGATCGAAGGAGTGGCAGTCACCCTCGGTGCAGATTACATAGTGTAATAGCGCTCGACAAGATTTGCCCAGTTTGGGCTAGATTCTATTTTTATGTTTTTACTGCCCCAGACATCTTTAGTTGTGCACATTTGACCAGAGTTATATATGTACATAACAATGCTTAGTAGGTGGTTATTTATGATTTTCTGATGACTTTTAATCTATCTTGCTATTTGAATTCCTACCCTGCGATATGACAGAAAATGTTATGAATCTCTTTGATATTATTTCTCATTTATTCTCTACATGAAAGATTGTTATACAACTAGATTATGTTTATTATGTGTATAAACCTTGATTGTTTTCACTGGGACTAGTCAAATGTCATTCACTAGGATGATAGTCTCACCTATTTATTTTTTCCCTGTAGTTACCAAGACACCTAGCTAAAATTTCAATGTTCACGTCGCTCACATCGGTTGCTATGCTCGATAGATTAAGGTTGGGCCAGTCTCTAAAACTTTTGCTTAAGTTATGTATTCATGTCTTTTGGAAAGAGTTGAAGGATTATGTATTATACCGCCATGAATGAATGTATGAATATTAAATATTTTGGATTTTATGAGACAATGTATGGTATATTATGTGATAGAAGTGAATGATTGGTAAACCCATGCTACAAGTTGCTAAATGTTATAACTGATGCAGTGCATGAGATTTATGGATTTTATAACAGCATATTTATTAGTGTTAAATAGGTACTCAGACATAGGTACAATATGAGTTAAACATGTCAGGGGTTACAGTGGCAACATGCTGCCAAGCTTCTAGCTTGATAATGTGTTGGTTACTGCCCCGCTATCATGCCTCTCTCGATTAGGGCGAGTGGGGTGTCACAAATCCTGTCACCCATCCCTTCTTGCTGGCCCTGTCAACAAAATAATCAGCAACACTCGCATTAAGTACAAAGTACAAAATTAAGTAGAAGTTTATATCAAAAGAAGTTTTTGCGATATTCAAAAGTTGCTCTTTAGTTTAACCCTCTTAAGTAACATCAATTTAATGAAGTCTTCCAAGGATTTACAGATACTTTAATTCCAAAATATGACACCTATCCAACTTCACCTTTGAAGCTTTGGTTATATAAACATTTACAATTTAAATAACCAAAACAATGAGAATTGTTTAACTTTGATTCAAAAGAAACCACACACATTAAGATCTCAGATGGGATGTCCTATCAGCTTGTTCTAGAAAAAGACAAAAGGACTTTTCAAAACTAATTGATCTAGCAAACCATCCTCAATTTTGGGTCAATAATAATACCACTAACCTGGAGAAAGGGTTGTAGTTATTATCTTTATATAACTCGATAATTAGACATGCATATAAAAATGTACAGGCATACAAAGCCATAAGAAATTATCACTGTTGTGCACAACATCTACTATGTCACCTCTATCACCTGTTTTGCCAAAATATAGAACCAAGGAAGGAAAAAAAATCCACAAGAAGAAAGTCCACAAACTTAATGTCCTCATGTCTCTAATCACCAATAATTGAAGGCTGATTGGTCATATTCAAGTCTAAAACATACATAGGCAATTAGAGAATAAAATCCTAATTGTATTCTATTTTTTATTTAGCAAGAATTTTACACTATCATAGATTCCCAAAATAGACAAATAATCCATAAAATAGAATGATGGTTTTGATGCCTTTTATAAGATATTGATCCTGATAAAAGTAGAAAAAGAATATAACTATACCTTGGGTCTGAAGTACAAAGGAAGATCCATGAAAATCACATAGTTTTCAATAATGGCGAAGTCATGCATCATGATGGGCTCAGGTAGTGTTATCGGTTTTGGATCATGCATGAAACCATCTTTTGAAATAACTCTATATGTAATATATGGTGGTATGTGAATAGCCAAAGGTAAACATCTCGCCTTCTAGCAAATAATTCCTTAATTAAAAGGCCTATTTTGTATTAGCGTTCAACCTAGATTATTTTTGGAAGAATAGGTGTTACCAGTGAATTGGTCAACTTTCGGATGAGCAATGAAGGAATGTGCCAATCTCTTGTCAGTACCCAGCATGCCAAGCATTTGTGGATCTCCATCTTCTAGTACTTTAAGAACATCTGCATGAGATGCAGCAGGTAGAGCATTTCAACTTGCACAACAATCAAACATGGTACATGTCTGAATATTGTATGATAATAATTCATTCAATCTTTTTTTTTGTTTGGTTACAATTCATTCAACCTTTTCTTGTTATCTCTCACAGGATAATTAAAAGACATGTATGAAGTTTCCTTTAGAACATATTTTAGTGAATTATGTGTGTATTAATATTTCCAAAGCAAAAGTTCTTGGACAATAAAATGGTTAAATATTCTGAATGATATTATTGTCTCATGGAAAAACATAATGACTTGATAAATAAACTATTGACTACCACAAATTGGATGAAAACCTCAGATAATAATATAAAAAGGTGAAACCAATATTACCTTTTGCTAAAGTAAGTCCTTGAAAGACATAAGATAGCTTCAACCTCAGAAATATGCCTCCATCTTCCTTTTTGATACATAACTGTGAACTATCAAAATTCAGATATTATCATTTAGAAGAATTGAAGGACAATAAGTTACCAATACGTGCCACATCTATTTTATATCTTCTTTTGTTGATTATTCCCATAAAGATGTGTTGAGAAACTTCTTTACAAGAAAGGAAATAGAAGGAATTATTGCGGAAAAGAGAGAGCTCCAGAAGAAGAGGTTTACCTTGAATCTATTTTTCGGTACTGATAAGAGATACATGTCCATGTTTTTTACTTCATGAAAATAATATTTTTATATATTTGTTTATTTGGGATTTTAGGGGAAGATCAAAATCTGATGATGATGATACTGACATTGATTGGACTTCAGAGGAGCAAAGAAAGGAGAAAGGGTTTACTTCCACTGGTAATTCTAAGCATTTCATTATAACCTAGAGTTCAATTGTCCCAACAAGCTACCTTGGTTATTCTTTACTCTATATTGTTTGCAAAATTTGTTAGTTAATGAAATATCAAAAATTGGCTTTCAGGCAAGTATGGCAACCCGTCTCGCCAAAGACTCAAAACCGTGGCCTTGGCGAGCGGCGCACGGCCGACAACCAACGAAACCCATGACTCACTCTTTTTCCGAAACAGCTCATCGGCTCTCGTTGGTTTCAACCTTCACTCACACACGGTTCCCTCCTCATAGTTGCTCTCTCTCTCTCTCTCTGGGTCACTTTGTCATGGTTTGGCAACGGAAGCAAAAGAAAATAGCAAATACAGAATGCAAAACAGAGACGACAACAGAGAGTAGATGAGGTTTTGTGGAACCTGCAAGTTCCAATTTTCTTAATAAGTATCCGGAATCAACTCCGATTCCCCGACTGAAGTACAGAATACATTTATGGAGAGAAGTGGCGAGCTTCTCCCTGTATAATTCCCACGCCCAAAAACAATCTGATGGCTCCTGTATTCCTTGTAATCCTACGGAGCCTTATGACCGTTGATTACAAATGAAAAACCAATTAAAATACATGGAGAGAGAAGAGCTCGGACAATGAGATTTGAAGTAAGAAAAGGCATGCAATTAGCGGTTAAAGGTTCAAAAGGGTCATTGAATCTTTTCCAATTTGTAAGAGATCTGTTAGATTTTGAATTTGCGCCAATGGGAAGCTTACTCTTTCAAACCGGCCAATAACCTCTGAGCATTGACTTTTCAACGCCTTCCACATGGTTCACTTGGTTCTTTCACGCCTTAATTATGTCCTGGAAGCATTAAATGCCTTTCATTTTCTCTTGTCATGCCCAACCTGCTCAAACTCTTCCCCATGCAAAAATCTTGCAAGTTGGCGAGTTCAACGGAACTTCTAGTTCCATCTAGTTTCTTTTGAATGTGATTTTGTTTGGCAGCTTCTTTGATGGAACAGAATTTGCTCCTTTCAAATTCCATGAAAATTTCATGCACCTATACAAGCAACGGCTCCCTTCTGACTTTTCCCGCTCAAAGAACTGGCCTACTTGCCCACACAAACCGGGTTACAGAAGTCTCATACTTCCACCCTTTGAGTCCTCCTAGGTGCGTCATGACCTGTTGGCTTGCCTCGCGAGCTCCTGGGTTGTGACACAAGCATGCTGATTAGAACATAGGAGCTTCACTTATTCTGACAAAGCCATGATTGATTGTGTCCTTTTTCTATCCATCCTTGAATTTGGACAATTAGTAATCTGTATATCATAATCTGTATACCATTACTTCTTTTCAGTTAAGAAATTTTATGTCAAATCATTTTTTTAGTGATTAGTTATAAGTATAAAAAGAAGTAGAAAAGAAGTAAAATATGATTATAATTAAACGAAAGCATCAAGTCAGCTTAACTTCACTGGCTTCCATAGAGGCAAGGTATGGTGCCTGCAAGGTGGTAGAATAATGGTATGGGTCTACCCTTTCAATCTTCACTTTGAATCCTTTAGGAAAACTCTATTCATATTCATGCAATCTGTCAAACTGACCCATTATTTAGTATATTTACTATAGCTTTTTTTTCCTTTTCCTTTTTGTTGTAGTAATACTTTTATCACCCCACACCTCCACTTAAAAGTAAACAAATAAATCCTTGATAAATAATTTTAACAACATTATTAGAAACTCCTTCTCTTGAGGTTTGAGGTACATGTAGTTGCTGCTTCAATTGTTAAATGAAATGACTCCCCTTTGATCTTTTCTCTTTCTTCTTCTTCTTCATCTTACTCTTATTCTCTCTCTCTCTATCTCTTCCAAAAAGTGAAAACCTATTATTGATCACCCAATATATGCTTATTGTTGTTTTGTATGCTCTTGCAGGGAAAAAGGCTTCAACTTCAGTTGGCAATCATAAGAGAGACGAAGATGATGACTTTGATGAATTTCTTGAGGGAATGTTTCCTTGATTATATTGTGATGAGTCTTTTTACAGTATCCTTTACTTCTCTTGAGAGTGAAGAATAATAACAATATTTAAATGACATGAAGCATGATTAGGAATGGCAATAGGGTATTGAAATGACCAGAAGTATGTTATGATTGATTTTGTACAGCTGAGTAAGTATTAGTCTCACTATAATACAAGCCTTCTTGAAGCAGTGCCTCCCCTTGCAACGGGATATAGATAATTGGCAACAACTTGTCCTCTCTGGTTGAGTTTCTAGAACCTGTAGGCCCATGACTAAGTAGTCCAACTTCTTTTAGCCCTTTGGAGGACTGAGTAATTATTTATATACTATTGTGAGAAACGAATTGTATAGAGAATTTGTTTACAAACTACAAAATTCTTGTAATTACTACTAGTGATCCATATAAATAATATTTGCTTTGAGCCATTTTAATGAGTTATGGCTTTGAAGATGAAAAGGTTAGAACTAGAAGTTGCAAATTCTTTAAACCTAGAGCTTTTCTTTTTTAGGTACAAAATCTTAAGCTATAGCATTTTAGACTAGCTATAGACTATGGTTAAAACTATTGGAAGCGAAAGTGAATCCAAAAAAAATACTACAACTGAGAGCAAGGAAGTATATAATGATAGAGAAGTGTACCACAAAAATCTCACAAAATACAATCCCAAAATATTCTCACAGTATTTAGTGTTACAACACTAATTTTTTTTCCTCTCTCCTCTCACCTTTTCTAAGCGAGCTACGGCTAGCACTTGATATTTCTCTCTTCTTCCTTTCGCTCTCTAGAGTCTGGCACTGCTTGCTCTTACTTGAAAATACATCAACACCTATATATATATATATATATATATATAGGGTAAAGATCGGCTAAATAACAATTGCTTTACAACATCCAAGTTTCCAGCTGGCTTTCTGTAAGGGCTAGCTTTTTTTTTTTTTTTTTTTATTTCTTTCCACCTAGCCATCTTTTCTCAGCATTGAAGGTCATCTCAACTGCACAAGTTTGGTCTAGCTTTGGTCAAACAAGTTTGCTTGCCACGTGACTAATGTTAATTCCAATTCTTCTACATCTCACATTAGCCAGCTCCACCTCCTCAATGTTTGAATCAGCCACAAAAGTTCAACGACTACTATTTAATTTATAGCTGCAAGAGAAGTCAGCTATTTAGTTCGCAAGGCCACCTCTTAATCTAGCCAATAGGTCGCATTCTTCGTTGTTAAGTTTCTTTACAGAGGGTTTGCAATTTTTAACACTCTTTTCAAACCTGACTATGCATAACAAGCTTCTTTTTTTTTTTTTTTTAATTCGTAAAATATTTTTATCTTCAAAAACTTCATAAAAATATCTACAAGTTGATTTTCTACTTTGTAATAGACTAGTTCCACAACTTTATTTTTCATCTACTCTCGAATAAAATAATACTTTATGTCTATATGCTTGCTTCGATTGTGTGAAACTAGATTTTTCACGAGTGATATAGTAAACTTGTCGTCAACATATATTGTAGTCGGGCCATCTTATTTAAAATATAACTCTCTCAGAATATTCTTCAACCATATTACTTGACACGTACACACTGCTACAGCTATATACTTAGCTTCACATGATGATAGAGCGATTGTTCGTTGCTTCATTGATGACTAGGAGAATATTGTTGATCGAATATGAAATGCATATTTGGAAGTGCTCTTCCAATCATTCAAGTTTCCAACGTAATCACTATTTGAATAACCAATCAACTTTTAATCTTGGGTGTATGAATAAAATAAACCGTGATCTATAGTGCCTTTGACATATCTCAAAATTCTTTTCGCTACAATGAAGTGATCTTACTTTGACTACTCCATATATCTACTGACCAAACCAATGGCATATATAATATCGGTTGTGTGAAAGTTAAATATCTCAAACTTTCAACTAGACTCTTGTGTAGTGTCAAGTTTACTAATTCTCTGTTCGAGTCAATTCTTACCTTTGTGCCTATTTCTGGCTTGCAATCCCTCATTTTGAAATTGCTCAAAATCTGCTCCTCATACTTATTTTGTGATAGGAATATTTGATTTTCCATTTGTTGTAGTTCAATTCCAAGAAAATATGACATTTCACAAATATCTATCATTTCAAATTCTTTAGCCATAACTTTTTTGAAATATTTGAACGTACCTAGATTATTTTTGGTAAAGATCATGTCACCTTCATATAAGCACACGATTATGATATCACTATCTTGATTTCTCTGTGTATAAGGCATGCTCATACAAGCATTTCACAAAACCATTCTTCTAAAAGTATTCATTTATTTTTGTATTCCAAGCTCTCGGAGCTTGCATCTATATAAAACTTTCTCCAGATGATAGACTTTATCTCCTTGTCTTTTCTAAATATATTCAGGTGGTTACTCAACATAGACTTCTTCTTCTAAATAACCATTTAGAAATGTTGATTTCACGTCCATTTGATAAATCTTCCATTTATTCTGAGCTACAAGCACTGTCGAAGTCTAATAGTATCAATCCTTGCAATTGGAATAAATACTTCACCATAGTCAATTCCTTGCCTTTGCTTGTAGCCTTTAGCAACTAACCTTGCCTTGTACTTCTTTACTTTTCCTTCTTGATTGGTCTTTGTTTTGTACACCATTTGACTCTGATTGCTTTGTGTCCTTTTGGAAGACTAGTTAACTCCCACGT